TCCTACCTCTATCAGGTGCAACAATCGCCGCACAGCCCTGATAGTCTGCGGCGTAGCGGCATTCCTGGTGTTCGGGGTGGTGATCGTGTTCGTCGGTGTCTACTTATTCAGGAGACATAGGGGCAGTGCTGGGCCTACCTCCATAGCAATCACACCGTTCTGCTGCCCAGATGAGGTGGAATGGTTAGCCAGATACGTCAATACGACCGCTTTACCGTGCAAGAATTTTTTCGCCTACGTCTGCCCGGAAGTAACTGAAGGCGCACTCTCGAGGTACACCATCGAGCGCTATCGGCCTTTGCACGCCGTAATAACCGGTGCGATGAGTGCGGACGTGCCAATGGGCCCGGTGGGACGTTTTCTTATCACCTACTTCAGAACGTGCGTACGGGCTATCGCGCACTACGACGACTTCGTCTCGTCCCTGGCTAATGCTTTTCTGCGAGACGCGAGATACCTCCTGGGGAAAGCCAGCGCTCGAGAAGCCATGATATTCTGTGCTACCGTGTCGATGAGGTACTTTTTGTCATCAGTCATAAACATTCACATCGACAATAACACAGTGAGCCTACAGTTCACTGCTGACGTTTGCGGTGTTCGTGGCCGTTATCGCGTCACTCTGACTGCTGCAGTTGAAGCCATGCGAGGAACTACGAACGTGACTGTGACACTAAACGATATGGTTAAACTGGTGACAGCGCTGTGCCATTTTTTTCTGGGGGAGCATAGATGGGAGGCACAGTACCAAATCACAGCCAATAGCAGCAGTGAATTTAGTCAAGAAGTTTGGAACATCAGAGACATCGGAGCTGCAATGAATGCCCTTGGTTTCTCTTTAAAAGACGTGCGGATTATAGAAGTTTATGGTATCCGGGAAATTCGCCATCTGTACTACATGTTCAACGGAAACAAGAGTCCAAGCTTGAAGGGAGCATATCTTCTATGGCACGCGCTCTTAAGTGCTGTCGATGGGTTGGACGTGCCTGAAGGTGAATTTTTGCCTCCCCTATTTCAAACCTGCTCAGAAAGCATGATATCAATGTGGCATATCTGGGACTTGTTCGAAGCGGAATTCCTGACCAGCGAGGAGAAGGATTCGCAAGCGAGACACATATTTCGCCACCATAAAGGACGCCGCTCGCGAACACTTTAAAGAGAGTGCCGTCTTCGACACCGAAGACCTGGACAGGTTGGAGAAGTTTTTCAAGAAAGTAGAATTACTGACACCCTCGGCTATAAGCAAAACTCCCGTCCAGGTCCCAGAGGCCACGCTAGACTTCGGCGAGAACCTTCTGAGAGCTTACGCTTTTGAAGTTAAGGTCGCCGCCAACCGGCTCTCAGCCTTGAGTGCGACGAAGACGCTCCGTCATCGGGACGTGTCAATTGTGGAAGACCGCTACATCCTACTATCACCCGCGTCGTACAGTTACATCCGCTCCGGTCCACCGAGTAAATCGCGCCTCCCGAACATGGCTCTTCTCGGCTGGCTCCTGGCTGAAAGCTTTTGGGGAATCACGCTGAACTTGATCAAGTGGAAATCCAAGACCGCTGCTAATATCGGAAGGCTATACGAGTGCTTCGCCGAAAACTACTTTAAGGACTTTCCCTTGGACAATATTGACTCTCGTGAGGTGATTATTCGCAGCGCTCGGACTGTCCACTGTTCACAAGGCATTGAACTCGACTGAATGGCACGTAATGAAGCCTGCCTGGAGCCTCTGGAAGCTTGTCTGAAGCGCAGTTTTTTTACATCATCAGCAGCCACCAGCGATGTAAAGGAGAGCAGTCGCGAGATGCGATGCTCGAGACTAACGTGCCACTGATGTATGTTGAAGATTTTGCTAAATCATTCGGCTGTCTCAGCGATGATAAAATGAGACGCCCCTTTCGATGCCCTGTTCATGACGTGGCTCGCAAATAAACACAGCGGTGCTCTTGGGTACCCTTTGGATGTTTCGGAGAGATATGTGACTCCTATTATATATGCTCGAGACTTTGTCGTTTGTTTCAGGTCACTCCGTGTTTTGTTTTCCTTTAAAACCAGTGTCGCTTTTCTTATCGCGAATGTAATCTTTCCTCTTCTGAAAGCATTGGCGCACATTGATAACCTGGCGTCCTTTATGGCTGCATTAAACTTCGTTGTTTGATTTGGTCACTCTGCGTTTTGTTTTCCTTCATAACGAGTGTCACTTGTCTGGAATGTCACCTTTTCGTCCTTAAAGAAAGCATAGGCGTGAGCAGAGGGGGATGCACGAGAGTAGCCTCTCCCCCCCCCCCACCCCTAGCTACGAGAAGAGAGGAGCGCGAAGTCCGCCCCGTACATAGACTGAAGTGGCTCGAAAATAAACACAGGGTTGCTATTTGATTCTTTTATATTTTGGAGAGATATGTGCATCCTACGTAGCTGCACCAAACATAGTTGTTTGTTGGGTCATGTGTTATGTTTTCCTTTATAACGAGTGTCATTTTCTTTACCACGAACATAACCTGTTCGCCTGTGACAAGCATAAGTGTGCGCAGGGGAGGTCAAGGGGCGCTTTTCCTAGATGAATGTAACTCCCCCCCCCCCCTGAAGAACCCTGCGCATGCCTTAACTGGAGGCGGGCCTTCATGTATGCTTGTGTGTGTGGTTTGTATGTCCGAGATTTTATGCATGCACAAACACACGCGCAAAATATACAATCCTATGCAGTGTAAGGAATTAAAGGGGGAGAGGATAAGAGGCCACCCTCTCCAAGCCATACCTCTGGCTGCTCCACTGTGCCTCTTTCTATTCTTAGTATGCTTAACTGCATAACAATAATGCCTCACCGCAATGTAGTACTTGTGTTTCCCCACATAGCTTTACTTTATCGTGCGATACATACTTTACGGTATTAAGTGGCGTCTCGTGTCGCTGTCCCCCGTCGGTGGCGTCAACACCAGCGATGCAGAAAACCATCACCACGATATGACATCACCATGAGGCGCTATCATGACGCCATGATTTGACAAATTGTGTGACGTCATTATGACGTCATATGGCAGTTTTGACAAATGGCGTTTTCTTCGTCAAAGGTGGGCCGATCCCGAAGGCAGTGCAAAACAAGTTGAAGTACAGAAAACAATTGTGGTTCACCGCAGTGCAGTATTTGTTCTTGACCGCATTGCATTACGTTATTGCGCAAAGCGTACTTTACGGTGTTGAGCGGCGTCTCGTGTCTCTGTCCGCCGTCGCTGGCGTCAACAAGAGCAATGCAAAACACCATTGCCACGCGATGACGTCGCCATGTGATGTTATAATGACGTCATATACTGACAAATTGTGTGACGTCATTGTGAAGTCACATGACGGTTTTATCGCATGACGTTTTTTGGTCAAAGGTGCGCCAATCCCGCAGGTTGTGCATGTTACGTTGCGGGTTTTCGTGGTGTTCCGATGGAAGAACCACACTGCTCGGCTGCTGGGTATGAACTGCTTTGTTTTTGCAAAACGGCCGCGATTCGCGGAATGCGCGATCCGTGCGCTGCGTCCCACTTGAAGGGAAACCGTAACCCAATGATCCCTTTCGCTCCGACCACCCGGCGGAGTGACCGGGAGCCAGTGATTGCGACTCCTGGAGTGGTGGTACGCCCATTTACCGGAAACGGCAGTGCGTCACTTGTAGAACATCACATCCCTTCCCTCTTAGATGAAGTCACCAAAGCGATCTGGCAGTTGGTGATGTCGCTGCGGATGTGATGCCGTTGTGTCCATCTGGGTCACTGGCTCTGGTGGCCCTGGCTGTTCTGTTAGGCTGAAGCTTGATGGCACAGGGGAGTCTGCTGTTAGATCCAGAGGAAAGTCTGCTGGTGGCTCCAGCATGTACTGAGCCGGAGCAGTGACTTGCCGAGTCGTTGCGCCTTGCTCTCCATGCCCGCTTGGCATGTGGTCCTCTGCCTGACTTTGGTCGACAGTGGTTTTTATGTGGTCTAGGCGCCTTCGAAACGTCCCCGTTCCACATTTAATCACCCAAGACCTGGGCCCGAACCTCTCCATTACACTTTCTTCCATTCATGCAGGGCTGCCTACGAAATTTCGGATGAATACGGCTTGTCCCTCGGGGAGCTATACTCCCTAGTGTTCGATGGTGCTTCCTGAGACGGCTGGGGCTGGAGTTGTGTGAGCGCAGTGACTATTTCGCGCCCGAACATTAGAATGGCTGGTGTTTTTTCCGTCGCCGTTGACACAGTGCTGTATTGCTTAAGCAGGAACCGTGCCAGCCTGCATGCGAATGTTCCTGTTTGGTTTTTGAATAACGCCTGTTTTGTTTCGAACACCATCCTCTCTGCTTGGCCGTTAGTGGAGGGACAGCATTGGGCGCTAGTGACATGTGTTAACCCGTTCTTTTTCAAAAATTTCTGAAATACTGAGGAAACAAAAGACGGGCCATCGTCCATCACGAGCTTTTTGGGGAGCCCAAACGTTGCGAAAAGGTTTTGCATTTCCTTGATCGATGTGGCACTTTGAATGTTGCGCATGCAGTGCACTTTCAGCCACTTGGTGAACGCATCGACCACCACTAGCAATATCTTCCCTTCCACAGGGCCAGCAAAGTCCGCATAAATGGTGTGCCAAGGTGACGTACGTTGCGCGCTCCCACTGAGGTGTGGGTGCTTTGCGTGGGCGCTCCCACTGAGGCGTGGGGCTTAGGGTGTGCAAAATCTTGAAGGCAGAATGGTATAGACAAGCACGTTTACATAAACAATACTTGTCCGCCCTTCTTTTTGATCGTCTTGAAGATACTGTGGCCATGCAGCAGCTTCGACAATTTCAGCGCCTCGCCGACCAAAGCACGGAATTCCTCTGGGCTCGACAATTGCCGGTGCTACGCACAGGCGTCGCCAAAAAAGTAACCAATCAAAAGCCGACAGTTCACGTGCCTGAACAGATCACCGTGCCTCCCGACATCCTCCGGACTTAAAGCCTCGGGCCCAAGTTTGCGGTGGAAACTAAGACGTCTCCACCGGAACTTCTAGCCATGGTGCGACAAGTTTCGCGCCATGTGCCCGAACAAGAGCAACCACACTCCGTCTCAGAAGGCGTTGACACCGTTTCGCGCTACAGACCAGCTGGATCCAAAATTTCTATCAGGAGAGCTGAGGCTTTTCTCAAGGAGCACTCTCTTACCGTCCTTCCCGCTGATAAGGAAGGAGGCTTCACCATCCTGACTCTGGGACTGTTTGGTTCTAAGGCTCACACTGCCGTAAGCTCTGTTTTCTCCTCTCGCGAGGACGTCCGCATTGAAAAAGTTAAATCGGAAGCAAAAAAGCTATGCAAAGACCTTAACCTCTCTCGAGTTGTCGGTGGCATCACAAATAGTAAGCATGACTTTTTAAAAGCGTTTTTTAATGCAAAGACTCACAAGAGCAATATGCCTTTTAGGGTCATTGTTTCAGAATGTGATACATGGCAAAAATCGATTGCTACCTTTTTGCAAGAACAGTTGAACCGGCTTGACGTTGATGATCCTTTCATAGTAAAAAGTTCTGATCAAGTCATAGATTATGTGAAAACTTGTGTCGATGAGCATGTTTATGGTTTTTCAGTCGACGTGACTAATTTGTATTATTCTATTCCCCATGATCAGTTGCTTCCTGCGGTTGAAGAGTGCATAGATTTGTTTGGCTCTGTTAGATTTCAATCCGAGTGTGGTGTTCCTGTCAGTCGGTTTTTAGAACTTTTATTATTTTACCTCAAGACGACCTACATTTCATGGGATGACAAGCCTTTTATTCAAAAGGATGGAATATGTATCGGGTCTTGCATTGCACCCATTTTAAGCGACATATTTTTAAGTAGAATTGACAGATCGATTTACCTACATCTTGATAATTTGAAGATAAAAAAAATTGTTCCGGTATGTCCATGACTATCTTGTTTTATTAACTAATGACACGGTAGCGGACGAGGCAGGTTTGGCAAAAATAATTTCACATTTTTCTGAGTGTTTTAAACCCTTGACTCTCACACACGAACTGCCTGAGAGAAATGCCATAAAATTCCTCGATGTCCTCTTCACCTTTCATCCTAAGCGCATATGTTGGGCATACCAACCACGTATGAACAAACTGGTCCTTCCTTACCAATCAGCTCACTCCAAACTAGTGAAAAGAGGCATCATCAGTCATTGTTTTCGTCATGCTTTAAGCAAATCTTGTGAGCACGAAATCGCCAATAGTTTTCATAATCAGTCAGACCGTTTGTTGAAAGCAGGTTATCCTATGCACGTCCAAACTTCAGTTGCAGAAGGCTTGCTTCGTACGCTTCGCAACCCAGGATGTACAGCGAGACGTGATTCCGAGAAACCGAAGCACCTAGTCGTCATACCATACTATCACAAGATATCGCACAACCTAAAGAAATTAGCTAAGCGCTCTGAAGTTAGGGTTGTTTTTTCGGCTCCCAAGAAGTTGGTCAGCCTTTGTGGCCTTCATGACCGTGATGGAAGACCCAAAGGTTGTAGTAAGAAGCATCGAACTGTTTATGTTCCCTGTATCATATGCGTTGTTTATCGTATCCCGCTTTCTTGTGGTAAAGAGTGTATTAGACAGACGGGCCGTTGCCTTAATGATCGATTAAGAGAACATTGTAATAATTTGAAAAACGGCCAGGGGAGTTGGTTGGCCATACTTTGTAAATCCTGCGGCTGCGCGCCGATATTCAATGCATGCACAGTTATCAAGAGAATGTTTGACAAGCTTACTAGAGAGATTATTGAGGCTGAGGCTATCGCTTCACTGGGGTCTAAGTGCGTCAGCACTTAGACCCCAGTGAATTAATTTTTGTGCATATCATTCATGTCATGTGATGTCTTTTTTTTTCTTGGTGATATAGGCGAGCGTGCGGTGGTAATAAACATTATGTTGGAAGTTAGCGCCTGTGCCGTGTGTCCTCTTCTTGTATCCCCGTTTCTTAGCGCTACTTTCAGTCGCCACAATGCACCAACAAGCCCAAGTTTCGACAGTGCTTTGCCTGTTGGTTTTTGGTGCTGGCGACATGTTGCACAGTTTCTTGCCACTTTTCAATGTCACTGTCAACACCTGGCCACCAAAAGTAACTTCTCGCAGGTTTTCATTGCAACAATTCCTCTGTGGTTCTCATGGGCCAGGCCCAATACACTCTTCCTCGCTTTGAGAGGAATCACCACATCTACAGCCCCTAATTAGGCAGCATTCCTGAATGGAGAGTTCGGCTTCGAGATTCCTGTATGCTGCAAGCTCCTCGTTGGCTAGCTTGCGCAGTTTACCGCTTCTGACCACTTCTTTCACACGAGACAATACTGCGTCTTGTTGGGTCATTTCACCCAGCTTTCTTGGCGCTAACTCAACGCTTGGCGTGGAAACCAACATGAGCACGACTCCTGGCGGATAAGGCTCATCAACGCGCGCTGGTAGCGGAAGTCTGCTGAGAGCGTCAGCATTTTGGTGCCTTTTGCCTGGTCTATACACCAGGTTGTAATCATAGGTGGCTAGCTTTAGACACCAGCAAGTCATTCTGGGTGACAGTACCGACGGCACTTGTTTCTTTTCGCTCATGATACCAATAAGTGGTTGATGGTCTGTTATTATACGGTTACTTACAGGTCAGTGATGTACTTATGGAAATGGCTGGCACCGTATACAATGGCCAATCCTTCTTTGTCAAGCTGAGGACAGTTCTTTTCCTCGCTCCCCATTGTCCGCGAAGCGAATGCTATGGGTGCCTCTCGGCCAAGAGCGTCTTCTGAGCCAGCACTGCCCCGATACCGTATGATGGCGCGTCTACAGACAAGAGAAGGGGTTTGGTTTCATCGTAATGCACAAGCACTGTGAAAGTAAGTGCGGACCATGTGTTTGAGCTCTTCAAAGGCGGTTTAATGCTCCGCTTCCCACTTCCAGTGCGCATTTTTCTCTAGCACTTTGTACAGCTTCGCTGCGACATGTGCCCTTTTCTTAAGGAAGCGGTCATAGAACGAGATTAGTCCAAGAAATGCTCGAAGAGATGTTTTGTCAGTTGGTTTAGGTGCCCGAAGTATGGCGTCAATTTTGCTCTCGGTGGCGTGCACCCCATTTGAAACTATTTGGTGTCTTAAGAACTGAACTGAAGGGATGCCAAAGTCGCACTTGTCTTTCCTTAGACGTAGGCCTCTCTCACTTAGCCTCGTTAAAACCTGCTTCAGACGATCTTCGTGCTCACAAGCATCGTTACCGCTGATAATCATATCATCAAGGCAGACACTCACGCCCGGAATGTTGGCCAGTTTAACCTCCATCATTCGTTGGAAGATGGCAGGTGCGGCGGATAAATGATAATGAAGGTAGTGAGCTTAGGATACAGGAGGTCACGCTAGAGATCACAGATAAATACAAATATCTGGCCATATAAATAAGCAATGGGACCGAGTACCTAAGGGAACACGAAATATACGTAATGACTAAAGGTAACAGGAATGCAGCGGTGATGAAAAATAGGGCACTGTTGAATTACAATAGGTATGATATTGTGAGAGCGATTTGGAAAGAGGTCATGGTTCCTGGTCTGACGTTCGGTAATGCGGTCCTGTGCATGTGATCAGAAGTTCAAGCAAGATTAGAAATTAAGCAACTAGGAATAGGTAGGCTTGCTTTAGGAGCTCACGGGAATACACCAAATCAGGGAGTACAAGGCGACATGGGATGGACATCATTCGAGGGCAGGAAAGCTAGCAGCAAGATAAAATTTGAGAAGCGATTGAGATAAATTGGGGATGAGCGTTGGGCTAGGAAGATTTTCAGCTACTTGTACATGAGGATTGCCGACCCGAAATGGAGGAAGCGAACCAGAAAATTGACGGGTAAATACTTAGAAAACAGCAGGGGGCCAAACTAAAAAGAACTATCGGTTAAGAAAAAGGTGAAGGAAACGGAGACCGACATGTGGAGACTTGGCATGATTAAGAAGCCGGCACTAGAGATCTATCGTACTTTTAAGCAGGAAATTGCCAAGGAAAGGATCTATGATAACACTCGGGGACGTATACTGTTTGAGGCCAGGACGGGAGTACTGCGAACCAAGACTTATCGGGCCAAATACGAAGGGGTAGACACGATATGCAGCGCGTGTGGAGAGGAGGAGGAAACTGCCGAGCACTTGATAATGTTCTGTAAAGGGCTCTATAGTTCAGGATGATGGCGCAGAGTTTTTCTGAGCACTGGGGTTTAGGGACAGGGAGGGCAAAATAGAGTTTTAGCGGGTAGAAATAACTATAAGGAGGTTTATTGGTGGCTACAATCAAAGCACGAGTGAAAATTAAATCCTTCACTGCAAAGTACCAGTCCTTAACTTCACTACTTAAAAGAAAAAGATAAATCCAGTTTTGGTTCACTATGTATTACGGGTAGGTGGCGTTAGCCGCCACCTGATCTAATGTGTACAGCCATATAGATCCATCCATCTATCCATCCGAACAAAAGCCGATTCACTTCAAACAGTACTTTGGTTGTGTTCCTCGTGAGGAGCGTTGCTGTTTTGTCGTCGACTTGCAGCTGCTGGTAGGCTTGGTACAAATCCAACGTCAAAAAAAAAAGAGTTCCGCCGCGCAAGTTCGCGAATACCTTTGCTCTAGTTGGAAGAGGGGATGAGGCTTTCTTCACCGCTGCGTTAACAGTGCTTCTGTAGTCATCACACACACGCAATGTTCCATCATTTTTCAGAACGAGAACCGGCGGTGTCACCCAGTTCGAATGCTGTATCGGTGAGAGGATGCCCTGATGTTGCAGACGGTCAAGTTCATTTTCCATAGGTCCCTGCAGGCCAAGAGGCACAGGACGAGCCTTGAAAAATCTGGGGCTGGCGTCTTTTTGAATTCCAGATGGGCCTGTGTAGCCATCGATATCCTCTCTGAACACGTCGTGGTGCCACAAGATGACTTCCTTGATCTCATTGGTTGAATGTTGCACCTGGTTGATTCCGTAAACCTGAATATGGAGAGGAGCAAGCCAGTCTCATACTAAGAGGTTGCATCCACCTCCTTTCATTACCAGTAACAGTATACCACGCAGTCGTCTGCTTTGAACTTGACCCGAGAGTGGGCGGTTCCCAGGACACGCAGTTCTTCTCCCGACCAAGTGCGCAAGTCGAGTGGCTCCCGTGAAAGCTGGGGGCCGTTTCATGGTTACGCTTCGTGGCATGCCTCCCCGCTTATCAGGGAGCGAGTGGCACTCGTGCTCACTTAAAATTGAAGGG